GCAACCATACGTAACACAGTCTTGTCGTCATTAATATCGATACCTTGTCTTGCCATCTTAAAGTGTTACGTCATTCGTGGATTTACGCAATTCCTAGGGCCCCACCAAATCTGTTTAAGGCGATACTAGGCACACGACTCTATGAAACAGTCCTTAATATAATTCTACATTAGACTCAATATCAATTGAAATAAGTCAGTATAAATTGGAAAACAAGGACCAGTGTAAGATAAAGTTAGTGGAGTGAAATAGCCCGCAGCAGTCTGGTAGAGTAGAATTTTGTAGAGTATCTGTCTTGTGGAGAACATTTGGTAGAAAACCTACTAAATGGAGCAATGAACAATCCTAATCCAAAATCGAAGCAGTAAACAGCATAACCATTAAACGTCCATTGGGACGTGAACAAATCTGTCCATATATAGCAGTCAAAAGAATAGAGTCACAAAAATAATATGTACAAATGTGGTGCAGGAAACAAAATTAACCTCTGCAGAGTACATTAAAGTAGAGATGAATAAAGCGTACTCAAACCAGGTGATTTTATATGCTAAAACAAATGTAAGTATGTAGGTACAACATCAGTAACTGGTTTGTATTGTACAAAGATCATGGCTTAGGGCAATACGCAACATCAGCCCGGAGAGTTTCTCGCCGGATCTTCTCAGTGGGTCGCGATTCCGAACCGGTGGTAGGTGCACTGAGGAAGTAATTTCAGATAATAAGCCTTCTTTAGCGGTGTTCGAGAAGTTTTAAGCAAGCCATCCCTTCCTGTCTCAACTCTTGAGTTTCCCAATCCGCCCAATTAAGCGACAGGGTCCTTGAAGCATCCGTATTGAATCATAAATTTTTCGCACAGTCTTCGACTAAATCAATCAGCGAACTATTACTACTTTAAAATATACAAGCCGACTATCCTTGGAAGCCTTACATGGAGATGTCATTTCCGTTTCCTTTCTCACCGGTTCACATACTTTTATTTAATGTTTCCTGTCCTTCGTAGCGTCCACAAATGATCCTTCATTACCGCTTAATCAAGGATGTAATCTGTCCAATGAAACAAGTTTTTCAATTGTGAATGTTTTGAATGTCCAATGAATGATAATAGTCAGCATTTTACATAATGATTTTTTTTATTGCTTAGATTGGGTGGACGAGCTCACAGCCCACCTGGTGTTAAGTGGTCATTAGAGCCCATTGACATCTACAACGTAAATTGGCCACCCACCTTAAGATATAAGTTCTAAGGTCTCAGTATGGTTACAACGGCTACCCCACCCTTCAAACCGAAATGCATTGCTGCTTCACGACAAGAATAGGCCGGGCGGTGGTACCTACCCGTGCGGACTCACAAGAGGTCCTACCACCAGGACTGAATTAAATTAGTTAGTATTTTTGTAATTTGTCCTAAAAAAAAAATTATTGCTTAGTTGGTTAGACGAACACACAGCCCACCTGGTGTTAAGTAGTTACCGGAGCCCATAAACATCTACAACGTAAATGCTGCCACCTACCTTGAGATATGAGTTCTAAGGTCTCAGTCTTTACAGTAAAGAACTCAGAGATCGCACTTTTTCAATATAGCGCGGCAGCTTAAAGGTCTTTTTTATTACCATCGCAGCCCGACGACTTCGGTCTCTTCTTATATGGTCATCATTGCTTGAAGATAATCAGCAACACATGGGATAAAGCCAAGCTGACATATGTATCGTTGACATATGTATATAACACGGAGGAGTTGCCGTTTTAGTGGACATCTACGTAAATAGTATGACAACACTGGTTACCTTTATGTAGGACGTGTATGGGTGCAATACAAGCTGCAATACCTTGTAACCCTTAGTTCGCTCGATATCATCGACAAGATCCAGGAATTCGTTGACTCGGAAGGCAGCGGTGATGAAACTAGTGAGAAATATCAGCCTACGCAACTACGTAATCCAATTATGGCGACCAGCCCGATATCAACAATCATGAGCTGAACAAATACTGATGAATGCGGTAGTTTGAAGAAATAAATTCTGCTTTAGTAGCATCTGGTGCGATAAGAAAAAGAAATATAATTTGAAATGAATCCGAAATGAATCCTCAGAGCTAGCTTCAAACAGATATTCCGAAATCCTCACTTGTCAATAATAAGCTCCACACGATTTTAAACTGTTAATTCTGACGGTGGACCGCCCGATTCACTACGCGAGTTCCGTTAAATCTAATTCTGCAGTAGAAAATTGGCGTTTTTATTTTAATGGTACAATAGTTGTTATTAGAAAAACAAAACAAACCATTTCAATCTTATATCTCAATGTGGACACCGGAATTCAAGTTATGCTGCTGTTAGTTTCCAGAAACCGTATAAGCATGATAAAATAAAAAAAAGCAATTGACAACAGTATTCCATCTATATTGTATGAAATGCTAAATATTACGTTTCGTGGTCTCCAAAAAAAGTAACCCTACACTTTCAAATGTGACATCAAAATTTTAAACTCATGTAAATTTAAACAAAATGGCCGTTCGCGCCAATACTACGCGGAGTCAACAAAACTAGAAACGCGCTGAGTGAAGTTCGACGGTGTCGTATAAATGCATGACATAAGCTTTCTTGAGTCGCAAAAACGGCATGGCCCGACCACAATAACAGGATTGTGGTTTACGCTGAATTATTGCTTGGATGGAAAACATATGTAAAGGATTGGTATGAAATTATACTGGGTGGAATTGAGCCATTCGGTAAAACAACAACAAGTACAATGCGAAAACACATAAAGATATAAACTGTTTTTTCTTCTATTTCGCATTCCACTCTACGTTAAACAATGACCTTGACCTGGAGTCCATCAGTAAGTATATGCAGTCGATATCAATGCGCCATTTCACGAAAGCGGCACGACACGAGAACCTTCTCATCGGGGCCACCGATTGTACATTCCCGATCCTGCGGACCGAATGGTAAACAGTCGACGTCGCCCAAAACACGTCATTTCGGATCCTCCCGATCCACTAATGGTGCTTTTAGGTATCTCAAGCATCGTTTACCTTCCTCGTCGAACCACTCGCTTGCGACGAAGGGCTCGGCGAGTAAATTAACCGACAGACACGGTCCACTGAGTTTCTCGCCGGATCTTCTCAGTGGGTCGCGTTTCCGATCCGATGGTATATTCTGCAAAGCATGGCTCTTGCTAGGGTTCGTGTTAGCAACATCGTCAGGTTTGAGCCTCATGAGCTCACCTATTCGCCCGGTTACGCTGACATAGCCTCTCAAGGCTATCAGCTTAGGTAGGAAAAAAAAAAGGTTAAACAATTAAAAACTAAAGCCCCGAGTTTACGGCAATACACTCTGTATGTTGTAACAAATGCGACAAGACATAATATCATTCATCGTGGTAACTGAAACGAGGTATATAAATAGATTCACAGTGTAAAAGAGAAAGAGCATAATTGTCATGTGTGTTAGAGCGAAATAAATCGGAGAATATTGACGTACTCACTATCGACTTTCATCGACCTAATGCCAGTCGCCAAACAAAACAAATCCCGCTTATTTTTGCAAAATCTCAGGTATTATAAACCTACATGTGAATCATTTTGATAGTGATGTCATTACGTATGCACTACAGGATGTAGCTCATCTAAGAAAATAGCCGACGGAATTAAACAATTCACACATTGTTTTTAAACTATGATTTCTGAGATACTGAAGATAAATCAAACCATTAAGATATGTTTGGTTCTTGTTATGCGAGGAGCATTAGGTTCTGGTTTATGCATGTCCACTATTTTCTCGACGCTCGAAACAGTAATTCCATCCGTGTTTATATATTTTTACTCATTTAAACACTACCTTCACATCGGAGCTCAGTACTCATGGCATACATATTATGTCCCGCAGGTATATGATTACGAATTTAGCAAATTACACATTAGCAATAAATAACACGACGAAATGAAATAACAAGGAACTGAAAAATGAGACGTCAGTGTCATTTCTAGTACGCTAAAAATATATCAATGAGAACGAAGGGAGAAAGTGCGCAGGCGCACTGTTACACAAGCACTTTCCAATACGTCTTACTTACCCTTTGTGTATTTTTCTATTTAGGGCCTTTAAGTGAATTGTCGCAATTTCAATTTTATTTCTTAGCGCTAAGCGACAATTTAAAAAGGAATATAATATGTATTAATTTAGCACTATTAACTCTGTAATGTGTTGGGAAGTACTGACTACTTTCTTTTAATCTACTATACATTTTATATTTTAAAAATATGATGAGTGTAAGTGTGATGAAAGGCGATTGCATGCAGCAGAGATGCGAATGTTGCGATGGATGTGTGGAATAACGAGAATGGATAGAATATAGAATGAATATGTTAGAGGAAGTCTGAAAGTGGCACCTGTGACAGAGAAGCTGAGAAGTGCGCATTTGGGATGGTATGGACTTGTGATGAGACGAAATGAAAATGAAGTTGTTAAGAGAGTGTTAACTATGAATGTGGAAGGATATAGAGGAAGAGGTAGACCTAAGAAGAAATTGATGGATTGCGTGAAAGACGATATGGGTAGTGAGCGAAGAAATGGTATATGATAGAAGAGAATGGATGGAGAAAACATGTTGCGCCGACCCCAGGAGACTGGGAGAAGGGCAGGAAAATTATGATGATGATGATGAGTGTAAACTCATTAGACATCTTTTCATAAAACAAATTAGTATTGCGAGAGATAGGCGAGTGAAAATACTCTCATATCCAAGTAACAAAAGCACTGTATAAATAGCAACACACATTTAAACTTCAAATTGTAAACAGATTGAGAAAAATAAAAAAAATAAAAACTTTTCTTAAATTGTTTATTTATTTATTTGTCGTACAGGTATAAAAGTGTCCAAAATACAGTATACAAAGTACTGATAATTTTTATTCGAATAAATAAACTTAAGGAAACAAATACCACGAAAAGTAATGAAACACAACCGTAAAATCACATTTTAAATTTTAAATTTATACAACAAAACAATAATCTGAAAACAAACAAAAATACTTCTAATGATAAAATTTGATCGCGCTATATAAACTTTTAAGGCTTAAACATATTTAGGGAATTGAAAAATTCGAACTGGCAAGTATTTTATAAGTACAATAGTACAACTAAAACTAAAGCGAACCTTTAATCCAATATCTTAGATTAGATTCTGACTACTTATCTACCATCTATGCAAATCACCAAAAATTTAAAACGTTATAATAGAAACATTGACACACTTGGTTGTAAATCTCAATTCTATAGTAAAACTGCTACAGAAATAGGCAAGGTTGTGGTACCTACCAATACGGGCTCACAAGACAATTTATAACAAATAAAAATATCCCATAAATATTACGTGACCTGAAACCATATCCATGTAACATCCGAGATACTAACAGATTTAACTAAGGCTCATTCCTACACCTGTCTTATCCCCATATTACAGATTATATACTCGTACTTATTAAAAAAAATCAACATTAAATCAAAAATGTCACTATCAAATGCAGTCTCGTAATAAGCTTGAGTATTTTTAAGTTGGCATTACTGTAATTCAACAGTGAAATTGAACATTGTTACCATGAAGTTTTGCATCCAAAATTAATGATAACGTATTTTTGGCAACAGTGTATTGGCTATATTAAATTCACTAAATTTCCAACCGAATATTGACAATAGAACATTAAAGTGGTATTTCAGCTATAAGGATCTGATTGGTAATTACTAAATTATTGCTTACCAATTAAACTATAGTTAAGACCGTAAGTTACCGAAATTCTAACTTCTAAAAAATTCTAAAGAGTAAATATGTCCTACAAAAAAACTAATACTTTGGCAGGGTCGGCGCAGGAGCTGTAGGGGATAGAAGCGAGTCATCCGCTGCTGCAAATGTTGATTCCCTCAATGCAGTAGAATTCCTGATGGACGCTCGTCGACTTTGCCTAATGGCATGCGCTAAGAAGAACGTGCAGAATATCCCGGTGCTCTGTAACAAAAGATTTTTACTGGTGGTAGGACCTCTTGTGAGTCCGCGCGGGTGGGTTGCCTTTTCTTTCCTTGCCTATTTCTGCCGTGAAGCAGTAATGGGTTTCGGTTTGAAGGGTGGGACAGCCGTTGTAACTGTACTTGAGACCTTAGAACTTAGATCTCAAGGTGAGTGGCGCATTTACGTTGTGGATGTCTATGGGCTCCAGTAACCACTTAACACCAGGTGGGCTGTGAGCTCGTTCACCAATCTAAGCAATAAAAAAAAAGATTTGTCAAGCAATAATGTCAATTGATTGTCAAACAAGATTCTTCCGACCGAATTTTGGATTCAGGGCAGTTGAAAAAAAACAGCTAGCTGTTTGTTAAAAATATAGCACAGCTGCTATATATAGCAGCCGCTATTTAGCAGCGATTGTCATTAGACTAGCGTGTAAACTCTTGAAAATAATTGGAAGTGGTTACCAAAAGGCCGTTTTTTGCATAGTCGACGAAAGAAATGCATCGGGTATATCTTTGACGAACAATTTTATAAGCATAAATTATGGGTTCTTTAATTTTAAGCAACCGTTTAATTCATTCAATAAATTTTCACCGTAACATTATTATCCCAATTAATAAATAGTTTATTAAAAAAAAACGTTGACTTTCGTATAGAATAGTCCAACTATACCTACTTTTTTTTTTTTTTTTTTTTTGGTCAGGAGGAAATCGCCGGACTTCCGCCCTTTTCTGGGGATACTGGGCGGGGTATGTCAGAGTCGAACTGACTAAAACCTCCTGTCGCTCAACAACCAACGTCCAAACCTCGCATGAGACAGAACTCATGACAAGGCAAAGGGGGGAAAGTGAAGCGTTTAGTGCGGAGCACATCTCTCCCATCACCCTCCCCCTCGGGACGCCGGACTGGCGGTCGTCGGCGCCACGACCACCAGCCCTCTCGGTCGGCAGACTGTCCGAAGCCCGCCTAGATGGCGCCGGTTAGAGTGGGTTACCCTACGGAATACCCCGCTGGGCCAGAACCAGCGTGGGTCGAGGATAGCCGGCCTTCCATCACTCGGATGCTCTTGCGTAAAACGCGTGCAGAGCAGCTTGCACGTCGTCTTCTTAGGCCCCCCTCGCCGGTCCCCAGACCGACATGTGAGGGGGACCCGAAACACTTAGAGGGCCAGGGCTTGGGCGAGATCCGCCTCCCTGGCCCCCGCTCGACGGCGGCGGGATTGTGCGTCTCTCACGCGCCCCGCCGCCTCCTTCTGCGAGATGGTGCACTCGCAGAAGTCGAGCATCGCCTTCCACGACTCGTCGTCGCCGAGCATCGATGCCACAACACTCGGCAACGACAAGTCGGTTCCTATTTTTGCGACGAGGACACGGCGCCACCCCTCCCATGCGGGGCAGGCGACGAGCGTATGCTCTGCCGTGTCCAAGTCGCAACCACAATGGTGGCACTCTGCCGTCGGCTCGGCTGTGATCCGGTGCAGGAACTCACCGAAACAACCATGCCCAGTGAGCACCTGCGTGAGCCGGAAAGTGAGGCGTCCTCTGTCACGATTCACCCAATCCACAAGGACCGGGCGAATCGCCTCGACGGTCCTACGACCAGCCGAAGGATCAGCCAGCCGTCTGGACCATGACTCCAGCACGGACCGCCGAGATTGGGCCCTCCGTGCTCTGACCACACTGGGGCTGGGACGCGCCACGCCCCGGGCACGAAGGTCAGCCCGCCACTTATAGTCAGCGGCGAGCGCCTCCGCTTCCAGAACCCAAGGCGGCGTCCCAGCCAGTACACACGCCGCCTCAAAGGAGATGGTGCGATAACCACGGATGACCCTGACCGCGATGGTGCGTTGCGGCCGTTGCAGCAGCTTCGCCACCCCCACGGCCAGGGACTGGCCCCACACGGGCGCCCCGTATAGGGCCATTGATCGCACCACCCCCGTATAGAGACGGCGCGTCACCTGGTCAGGCCCCCCGACGTTGGGCAGAAGCCGGCTTAGCGCGCAACTATACCTACTACTAATATTTGGGTAATAAAAATAAATATATAAGAAAATGGTTGTACAACTTCATTGAAATACCATCAAATGTAGGATTAACTACATGAAATGGGTTACTATATATATGATTAACTATGTTCATAAAAACTGTTTAGGATTTTCTGTTTAAAACACCAAAACCATATCGAGGGGTGAAAGACAATTTGAACGACATTTCGATTAATACGCGACATTTATCTTTGTATTTAAAGGTTCGTTTTACTTGGTATTAGTATCAACAATTTGATGTTTTTAATTGAAACTCAATTAAGTTTACCCCATTCAAATTGCTGAAGAAGTTTTTTGTTATGATACCTATTTTTTCTAAATTTTAAGACTTTACTAGATGATGACCGAGCTTTGCTGGTTTTTTTTTGACAACGCCATCTTGTTGTGTCTTTAAAGCGGTCAGTTGCCCTCAATTAAGAAAAATAGTATTATTATTCACCAATAGATGTCGGGAAGAGTTGATTATTGAAAACACCGATAAAACAACATTTTCTGAAAATAAATCGTAGCTAAATCGATTTATCGCCCCCGAAATCCCCTGTAGGTATACTAAATTTTATGAAAATCGTTGGAGCTATTTCCGAGATTCAGATCATATACAAGAATTGCTCGTTTAAAGGTATAAGATTAGCTATCCTGTAAAGTTATAAATATCGCTTAAAGCAAATAGCCTTTCACTCTTAGATACGGTTTAATCTTATCCTTAAATACATGACAAAATTTGCTTGCGAATGTCCTTGTGCCAATTCCATTATGTCCTTCGCAGATCCCTAACGCATTCCGCCCTACGCCAGTTAGGCGCCAACTATAATCCGACCGACAATATTTCTATCTCCTCTAGTCTATCAGTAGACTACAAAGTGCAGGCATGTATATTAGTCAATTATCTATACTATAATATTATAAAGCTGAAGAGTTTGTGTGTTTGTTTGAACGCGTTAATCTCAGGAACTACTGGTTCGATTTGAAAAATATTTTCAGTGTTAGATAGCCCATTTATTGAGGAAGGCTATAGGCTATATAACATCACGCTAAGATAAGAGCACCAACAAAGAATGTTTGAAAATCGGGGTTTTATCACCTTTTCAGAACTTCCGCTATATGTACGCCAAAGTAACTATTCCACGCGGACGAAGTCGCGGGAAAAAGCTAGTGCAAGATACTTGATTTTTTCTGGATGGACTACTATACATACAAATCACAACAAACAGACAGTGTTACTACGCCTAAGTCAAGTTGTAGCACCACGTATAATTAGCGTGTTCAGGCATCAGATGTTATAAAAAATTCCAACTATGACAAACATAGAATTTAATCCAACTGGATAATACTCGTAAAACAATGATCTCACTACTGTTGCGTAAATTTTCGTCTGAAGTAACGTCCAATGTCCCACCATGAATTTTGCAAACTTCACTTGTTATGATAAAAGTAGGTACCTAATGGATATTTTGTCTCATCATCTCAATTAAGATATAGGGTAATTAAAAAAAAGCAAGACCAATTTACGCGGTTGTATAATACTTTTCTTCTTCCGTCTCCCTTGACGTTTGATTATCACACTGATATATCATCCAGTGACGATCAGACACATCAACGAATCAGTCGTGAATGAAGTCGTGATTGCGCAATATGAAGTTCTTAAATGTTTTGGGCAGTGGACTGTATTTTGTCGCTATTGGGTCGCTGGCTAACTTCAATAAAACATGATTTCGAAAGAAAGCTTTTTATTTCTCTTAGTACACAATACAACATATGAGTCGACTATTATCAAAGCCGGCAATGTGACTTTTGGACAATTATTGGTAAATCAGAAAAACGAATTATTGACTTTGTATTCCATTGGCAGTCACAAAACTCTTCTGAACGACATCTTAGATAAATAACAGGTTAAGTATTAACTTTTATTTAATGCAGGTTTTGAACCGTATTCTTTGAAGGAGACGATTATATTCCAATCANTGAGTCGACTATTATCAAAGCCGGCAATGTGACTTTTGGACAATTATTGGTAAATCAGAAAAACGAATTATTGACTTTGTATTCCATTGGCAGTCACAAAACTCTTCTGAACGACATCTTAGATAAATAACAGGTTAAGTATTAACTTTTATTTAATGCAGGTTTTGAACCGTATTCTTTGAAGGAGACGATTATATTCCAATCAATCTGTATTGACATATCCATAACATTTTTTTGTCCAAATGCACAGATTGCCACCTTTGATAATAGACGACTCATATATGCTTAGCCCGACCAGAAATTTTGTACATCTACAACGACTAGTGTTGCCAGATGTTAATGTATTGCCACACTAGAAACAATTATATATAAAATATTATATTTATGATTGCCCTAAGCAAAGTATGCCTACTTGATCAAGGTCTTACGTAACAGTAACTCGAGATATTACATGTTCATTATAGAATACAATAAAATAAATCATAGACATCAATTTCATATAGTACATTTAATGCTCAATGCAGAAAATCGGCTCATTTATAACACATGCGAGCCGTAGACGTATTTATAGTACCCGGGTCCGTTTAATTCAATAAAGCCACTAATGGCCAGAATTGGAGATGACTCGGCATCGAGACCCAAATAACGGACTTGTGGCGTAACTTGACTCCTTAAGCCATTTGACAAACGCGTGACGCATGAGCTAAACCATTTATTAATTCCACGATTTTTTTTTATTGCTTACATGGGTGGACGAGCTCACAACCCACCTGGTGTTAAGTGGTTACTGGAGCCCATAGACATCTACAACGTAAATGCGCTACCCACCTTGTGATATAAGTTATAAGGTCTCAGTATAAGTTACAATGGCTGCCCCGCCCTTCAAACCGAAACGCATTACTGCTTCACGGCAGAAATAGGCAGGGTGGTGGTACCTACCCCTGCGGACCCACAAGAGGTTCTACTACCAGTAATAAATAATAGTAATAATAAA